CCCCCCCCCCCCCCACCACGCCTCTTCCGTCGTAGCTAAGGACACACGGCCTTTCGGCCGTTTTCTGTGACTCCACCCTTCCACACGGCTGTTATGGTGGCCATCTCCACCATCCCCTCCTGCTGCTGCTATTAGATATATTGGGGGTACTCGTAGCATAGTATGACGGGTAAGACCTTCCGTACGTACGTACGGAAATTGCAGTGATGAGATGCGGAGGAATCAGAGAGATCCGTTTGGTAGTTTGAGCGTGATGAGCGTGACGCCTGCTTGATGCCGTGACAGATTTACGAGCACGAGCACGCCCCCGAAGAATACAACACGTTTTCCTATACGTCCCTCCGCTACCACGGCCCGTCATGGCCCAGCTGCTCTACACTCCCACCACATATAACTGAGCCACCCGAATTATCGATCACGCTAGCGTGTGACACGTCGTCAACGATATTCGCGTCGAGCTTAGTTTGGAGTTACATCGCTTTGCGGCGATCAGCAGCAGTCACCAATGAGCACCCCCGACCGAAACCGAGACCGAGAGAGCGACCGTCAAGCAGTGGACTACGACGCCCGGATCAACGAGTTGGTGAACGAGAGGGTAGCAGCGAGACTGGCCGAGCTTACAAGGCAACAAGACGAGCAGCAGCAGAGGACAGATCACGTCCGGAGCGGGAACGACCACGAGACACGCCACCAGCAACATGCGGGGCGACCATCGGCCGGCCCGTCCGCAGACGACATCGCCCGCACTCTCGCCGACGCCCTGACCAGCCGTCTTCAGATATCACCCGCAGACGCGGGTAGAGTACCAAGTAGCGCAGCGACGCTTAGGATGACTGAGGTTAAGCGCCTAGCGCCGTGGGATGGTATGTATAGGCAATGGGAGGATGAACAGGCAAGGTTTTTGATTTTTCGATCGAACACGATTGCTATGTTTGCGCAAGAAGGAGCCAGGGAAGCGGTATTGAGTGACCACAGAATTCCGGGCGGGCTAAAAGGAGTAGGCATGGAGGACTTGCTTAGGATGCACTCGCCTGATACGGTAGAAAAGGCGATCACGGCGTGGAATTTGATCATCACGACAATCACCGACATGCCTGTCTTGATCCAGATTATCGCTGACGGTAGTCCCAGTGGGGGTTGGAAACTATTTCTAGCATATTACGAACCCCAGGCGAGAGCAGAAAAAACACGGTTGACTTCGGAATACCATGCCATAAAAATGCGAGTGGGTGAAAGTCCGCGGGAATACTTTGGCAGATTTGTTGTTTTGCGCAGTAGGTTAGCCTCACACGGCGTCACATACCCCGACGATGATGCCAATTCGCACGTTGTGTACAACTTGTCTTCCGAGTACAAAATGGAGAAAGCTATGCTGCGTGCCCTTCCGCCCCCCACTTTGACCCGTCAGCACCTTGAAAAGGTGGTGAAAGATGCCCATCAGGGTATGGTAACCGCACGGGAGGGGGAGCCGCAGAATGGTGCGGGACACGCATTCGTCGTTGCCGGTGGGAACCGGGGCGACGGACGTGTCCAAAATGGGTCCAGTGGGAACGGCGGGGGTCAGGACGGCAATGGAGGCGGTCGGAGCAGCAACAACAGGGTGGACGGAGACAGGCGCTTCGACTATCATCCGTACTCGTCGCACACCAACAGGGAGTGCCACACCCAGCGTCGGCAACGGAAGAAGCAGAAGACCAAGCAGCAGCAGCCTCAGCAACAGCAGCTGCCTCAGCAACAGCAGCTGCCTCAGCAACAGCAGCAGCCTCAGCAACAGCAGCAGCCCCAACGATAGCAACAACCCCCGCAACAGCAGCCGTCTCAGCAGCAACGGAAACCTCGGGGACCGCCGCCGCAGCAGCCGAGCCGCAATGGGGGGGGCTGGGGGGGTGGGCCCCGGCACGGGCCTCACGGCGGCTACGGAGGACAGCAGCATCATGCACATCCAGCCCCCCCTCGTACACCGCAGCAGCAGCGGCGGCCCCCGTACGGGCATGCAAATGTAAGTCAACCGTATGGTGCCGCGCCCCATGAGGGGACCGCGTATGGTAACGAGTATGGGGGGTGGGAGCATCAGCCACAGTATCAGCAACCGTTGCCCGACTACAGCTTCCAGCAGCAGCCGTATTACCCGCCTCCGACAACGTACTACCAGCAGCAGCAGCAGCCACCGCCGCAGCCTCCGCTACCGCCGTCGTTCCAGCAGCAGCCGCAGCCGCAGCAGCACTCGACCCATGCCCCGTACCATTCGCCTCCTCCCGATGCAACCGGATCCCCTGGGCATCTTCACTTCCTCAGGACAGTTTTGTGTCACAAGGCGAGAACTTTCCAAGTGTGGTAGCGCGTGAGAATGGTAGTAGTTTCGCTTTGTCCGTTCAGAGTCGCCCTTCGCAGATTGGTAGAGAGCAATTTTGGGCCGACAGCGGCGCAAGCAACACGTTTGTCAGCAGTAGCGAAAACATGTTCGACATGAAGCCGATCCCAGCAGGAAAAGAGTTCATCCAAGTAGGAAATGGTGCCTATCTGCGCGTGCAATGTGTTGGTAGCATCAACATGGCATTTCACATGCCTGGCCCTTCGGGCGAGATCGATTTTTGCGTGCAGATGTCTGACGTGTACGTAGTCCCCGGCATCACGTTCAATTTGTTTTCTCTGCACCATACGCAGCGTAGGCAGAGAATTGCGTTGGATGAAAATGGCGTGCATCTATTCAATGGCCAGCTTTCCTTTGCTTACTCCAATGTAGGATGTTCTCTTTGGGCCTCCCACGTATACCGGTAGTGCTGTAACCCTCGGTCCCGATGCCTTCCCTCGTGTGTCTCCCCAAGCTCCCCCGCCTAGCGTTGGGACAGGCCTTNTCGATTTTTGCGTGCAGATGTCTGACGTGTACGTAGTCCCCGGCATCACGTTCAATTTGTTTTCTCTGCACCATACGCAGCGTAGGCAGAGAATTGCGTTGGATGAAAATGGCGTGCATCTATTCAATGGCCAGCTTTCCTTTGCTTACTCCAATGTAGGATGTTCTCTTTGGGCCTCCCACGTATACCGGTAGTGCTGTAACCCTCGGTCCCGATGCCTTCCCTCGTGTGTCTCCCCAAGCTCCCCCGCCTAGCGTTGGGACAGGCCTTGTTGTCACGAACCCCCCTTTCCCCCCAAACACAGTACGAGCTTCCCGTCCACCGGTGGAATCGCTGCCGGTGTTGTACCTTCGAGTTGGAGTGCGAATCCGAGCTTCCAGTCCGCCGGTGGTGCCGCTGCCGGTGTTGNAGAGAATTGCGTTGGATGAAAATGGCGTGCATCTATTCAATGGCCAGCTTTCCTTTGCTTACTCCAATGTAGGATGTTCTCTTTGGGCCTCCCACGTATACCGGTAGTGCTGTAACCCTCGGTCCCGATGCCTTCCCTCGTGTGTCTCCCCAAGCTCCCCCGCCTAGCGTTGGGACAGGCCTTGTTGTCACGAACCCCCCTTTCCCCCCAAACACAGTAGGAGCTTCCCGTCCACCGGTGGAATCGCTGCCGGTGTTGTACCTTCGAGTTGGAGTGCGAATCCGAGCTTCCAGTCCGCCGGTGGTGCCGCTGCCGGTGTTGTACCTCCAAGTGCCAGTGCGAGTCCGAGCTTCCAGTCCGCCGATGGAGTCGCTGCCGGTGTTGTACCTTTATCTGCGAGTGCGACTTCGAGCGTCCCATCCACCACGTCCGTTGTAGTTATTCCGCGTTGTGCATTCCCGCCCATCGACGTAGATGTAGTGCCAACGATTATTGCCGACTACCAGCCTGAAATCACAGCTGCCGTAGCGTCGTCTGAGATTGCTTCTCCCTCCATGGTTGATCCGAGCGATTTTCGTGAAGTTGTGATCAACCCCGTCATCCCCCAGGACCATTTGCCTCTCATGGATATGAGCATGTTCCTTGATGTAGGCCTGATGGATGGCATAGACTCGGTCCCACAGGGTGATTTTTTTCCGGATGCGCTTGATGTTTGCGACTCTGCAACA